ACTGGGGTTCAAGGAGACAGAAGCAGACATAGAAAAAGAAGCATAGATACAAAAGGCTGCAGGGGTCACTTTATCCACATGCTGCCAAATATCAGCGGGAGCTGAGCGCCGCCAAGTGGAACTATTGAAGTTAATAGACCAGAAGAATTAACGTCAAAAGTAAAATAATTTTACAAAAAGGTTTTAAATTAATTAACTGAAGGGAACTTCAGGCTCTGATGGTAAAAATGGCGGCACCCTGCGGCTGCTCTCCCTGAGCCGAAGGGAAACGCATCAAACTTGACCTACTTGTGAACTCGAAGCTGCCTCATGGTGTCGCCGCCGCTCTCAGAGATCAGCCGCGTGTAGGAGAAAGGAAACCAGCCCCGCCTGGTGGGGAGACAACAACTCCGTTACTACCGGTCTGCCTACTCGCCGACTTCAGCTCAAAGCCGATGCCAGGAAGCAGAACAGGGATCAAACCCGGAGCCGACTCACATCCTCGTCTTCTCGTTCTCGCCGTAGTGCCAGCCGTCACGGGCCTCGGGCACCAGCAGGGTGATGACGTCGCCTTCGGCGAAGCTGAGCAGTGTGCTGTTGTCTCCTGCGGCGTGGGAGAAGACGGCCTGGACGCGGGTTCTTCCGTTCTTCTCCAGACCTGCAGCCATGGAGCTGGAGCGGGGCAGCGTGCGGGTCTCCACTGGAAAACATGTCAGGACTTTAAACCTCTTCCCATATTTCAGGACACCGGCTCTTCCTCTCTCACATCTACAGGGAATCACAAGCTGCCCCCATTTATCGGCACTAGAGCCGCATCTCATTTTGAAAATCAAATCTTCTGTTTGGAGGCGTTATTAAAGCTGCAGGCTGAGCTTCAGCTCCGTCTCCTTATGAGACAAAGAAAACATCAACTGAACTGAGATGTTATCAGATCCTCAGGTCGCCAGAGAATCTGTTTATTAAACTTATATTGCTGACAAGCAACAAGCCGCTTGTATTAAGCTGCAAGAAATAAATGTAAATCAAAGTCAATTTCTCCTAAAATAAGGGCATTTTTTCTTTAATTGAGAAGGTAAGTGAGACATTTTGCCGTCTGAAA